ATGATATTGGAATTGTTAAAATTGTTAAGATACATTATGTTAATTGTGTTAATTCAGATACTGCTTGTACAAAATTTGCAATTCACCAAGTAATTAAATCAATATTATTAATATATTTCCATGCTAATTTATTACTGAAAAGATCTGATTTTGCTTTGTATTATATAAGTTGACTTCCTGTTAAATTGGCATTAAGTGAACTTATATTAGCAATTTCTGGATTTTTATCAAAAAATGATCATTTAACTTCAATTGAGGTATTCAGATATATACGCAGATGTGATTTACACTGGATTACTAAATTATTATATTGATATTTGGAATTTTCACAGTATTTACATTCTGATTAATTTGATTAAATATTCTCATATAGAACTTCAACAATAAAGATATAGATATTTATAATTATCATTATATATATATTTTGTATCAGTTTGTTTATCATTATTTATTAAGTACAAATACCTTAATTAGTGATGATTTATAAACTTAATTATATATATAATTGTGTATGAGCATTTACGATATCAGTTAGTAAATAATCATTATGTCACAATATTTATGGGTCAAATGCATTTACTATAAAGATCAGAAAATCTCTTATATAGTAAATTTTCTATTTTTATATATAAATATTATAAAGTATTTATTTCATTACTTTATAAACTTTTTTTCTCATATATTAACATATATTTATTTATTATTAAAAGTTTTCTCATATATTAACATATATTTATTTATTATTAAAAGTTTATTTATTTACTTCAATCTATTAGAATATTTATTTAATTTATTAATAATAATTTTAGTTAAAAGAAAATCTTTATCATAAATTTGTTAACTTTGAAAAAATAAAAAATAATTAATATATAAAGCATTATGTATATTCTGCTAATCTAATGATAATTATAATAATTAACAGTTTTTATTCCTTTAACATATTTTCAATAATGATAATAATTATATTTTTCTTATCATTTGCTTGATCTATTGAAAATATTTTAGCAATAAATTTAATCAATTTGATAATAATAATAATAACAAAAAATGAGTAATATATCATTATTTAATAAAATTATAAGTGATAATGAAACTATAAGTAATAATGAAATTATAAGTGATAACAAAACTATATATTATAAAATTACAAAATTATCAATAATGAAACCATAAATAAAACTACAAATAATGAAACTACAGATAATGAAACTATAATAATAGATAATAATAATAATTTATCAGATATATTTTTTGCAATAAATAAAGAAATTATAGCTTTAGCTCATGAATTATCAATAAAAAAATCAGCTCAGAAAGTGAAGATAATAAATTATTAGAAACTCTAAATAATATTGATGATATTTTATTCAAAGTTGGAACAGAATCTACTTTTTTAACAGAAAATAAAGAAAAATTAGCTTTATCTTTAAATACTGATAAAAACTACTTAAAACTAAAATTCTGTTATGTAATTGATAAATTTAATAATGAAATATAACATTATAATTCTACTATCAAGCTTAGAAGATTATAGTAACTTGTTGGTATATGAGAAATTAAAACAAGTACACTTCAAGAAATTGAAATCAATTTTTAAAATTTGAGCATATATCAAAATCATTATGCTTTTGATCAGAATCACTTACATTAACAAGATTTAAAAAAAGCATCAGATATATCTGAAAGTATTATGAAAATTATCAGTATATTTATTATGAACTTAATAAACATTTTTATAGTCATGAAAAATTATATTTTGAACATTAATAGAATATTATTAGATGTAATATACAAATTTTATATATTAGACAAGTCAATTTTTTAGTATTAAAAAAGCAAAATTATCATTCTGTCATCTATCTAATCACTCTAATTATAAGATTATACTATATTTGTTATTCTTGTTTCAAAAAGAATAGTAGATATCTGTATCATTATCCTGAAAAAGACAAATCTATTACATTTTGTAAAGATAATAAATTATATGACAATAATACTATATTATCCCTTTGATTATTAGGAAATTAGATATTAAATATAGCTGAATCTGATAATTCAGATATAAAATTATCTCTTTTATTTTATTTAAGTCCAATTTTACAAATTCTAAATATACCTTCTTATTTAAAATTACTATTACAATCAGAAATTCAACCTATTCCATCTTGTTTAATGCAATCAAAAATTCAGTCTCTTAGTTTATTTATTATTAAAACAACTATTAAGTTAAAACATATTACTATTTCTTTGATACCAAAAAATTTATTATTAGAATATTTTTCTGATTTGGACAATACAATAGCAAATATAATTTGGATATCAAAAACAGAACTTCAAAAAAATATTAAGTTATTAGAAAGTTCAGTAATATTGAATCAATATTTTTTAGCAATTTCAAAATCACTCACATCTTTCTTATAATAAATTTAGAAGACAAATAAAATCTTTTAGCTGCTCACAAAGCAAAACAACAAAAAAAAGAATATAAATCAATTAATTTAGCAAAGATTAAAAAAATAACAGTCTTTATATTATCAATTATTTTAAATATCACATTTAAGAAGATAAATATTTAGATTTCTTATATAATAATCAGTTTATATTAAAAGTCTAATTTTCTTTCTTCAGTTTATAATTTTTTAAAAGAAGTTAATATAATATCTCATACTAATCAATGGGAATATTATTTGGAATATTTACAAAAAAAGTAATAAATTCTTCTAATCGAGTACAAGTTAGATCTAATATTTGAAATATTACTATGATTGATAATATTGATATTAGAGCAAAATTATTTATATTTGAAAATATTTATGATATTATCTATTAATCTTCATATATTATATTACAAATAGTTTTTCAATATAATTTACCTATACCTATTACAATATTTATAAATCAAAAAATATCAATTTATGATGAACAAATAATTAGATCTAATAAAGTTTTGAAAAATATTATAATATTATTCCACATGATATTTCAAAGTTTTTTTTTTAATAATATATCTAGTAATAATTTTAATATCAATTTCAATATTATAATATACATAAAAAAATTACAGATCAAGTTGAGAAAGGATATTAGTATAAAGTTCCTAATATTATTATATTCAAGACAAATAAATTACTAATAATAAATAAGAATATTTTTTTATCATTGGAAATGTATAAAAATGATATTGAACTTATTACAAATAAAAAATTAGATATTTCATCAGATAAAGCTATATTTCAAAGAGCAATATAATAAAAAGAAAAAGAATTTCAAAACTTACTTGGATAATAGTATACTAATAAAAATATATGTGATATATTATTGATAATTTTTTCAGAATATGATATATTTAATTTAGCTGGTGCACTTGAAGTTTAATATTTAAACAAGTTAGAAATAATTGATGACTATTGATTAACTTGTTAAGTTTTAGAACTTTTATAGATTGCTATAGGTTGTGTAATTCATATATATATAAAAAAATATCAAATTACACTATCAGAAATAATGAATTGCAATAATAATTTAGTCAAAGTCTGGTATCTTTATTTTGTTTGGATGAGTTTATGGAAGGCTTACAAAGTTGAAATACAAAATGGAAGTTATAATTAGTAATTTAAAATATTAGAAGCTTTTTCATCACTTTTTTCTGCATCTAAAAAAAATTGATATGCAGAATCTGCTGTTCATTTTCTTGTATAATTACATGATAATACAGAATTATAATCTTTACTTCAATTAGCATGTTCAGTTAATATTTCTCATGATGAATATTATTATGTATTCAATAAAGACTTGGAAATATTAGATGTAAAATTTATAAAAGAAAATATATCAAAAACTGTTAATATAGTAAATCTTGATACTTTAAAACTTGAAATCAAATCAGTATAAGCTGAATGTGAATAATTAGCAACTTTCTTATCAAAATTTATTAATGATCATTCTGAAAGTCATGAAAATCATTCAATTCAAATAAGAAATGAAAAAATGTGAAAACTTTCAATAGATTTAATATCAGTATTTGAAACAAGAAATCTTAAAGATCATTATTTATTTTCTACTGCTCAAGAATTAATAAAAGAAGAATATCAATATCTTTTTAATCTTTATAATAATGGAATTCAAAGAACATGAGCTATTTTATATCAAGATATTTATGAACTTGAAGATTAAATTACTGAAGGATAATGTAAATAGAAAATTATAAAATATAAATATAATAATCTTAAGAAAAAAAGAAAAAATGATAAAGATAGTAAAAATATAAAAAGAAAAGATAAATCAAAAAATCAACAACTAACAGAAAATTTATTATCAAAGATATTAAATAAAACTTGATGACAAACTATAATCAAAAAAAAAGAAATTTTAGATCAATTTTTACTATATTCTCAATTAAATAATCAAATTATTAATGAAATTCAGGAAAAAATTCCTACTTGGAACAAAAAATGACTTAGAAATTATTATTATAATAATTGGAATAAGAAATAAGATGAATTACAAGATTATAAATATAGTAAGTTAAGTTTATAAATATTAAATTTCAAATTTTTTTATTCAGAAATTCTGAAAAGAACATTATTTTTACATAAATATATAATTATGAATATAACTATTTCTAAATAATAATATTTTTTTATTTATATATAACTATTTCTAAAGAATAATATTTTTCATTTATGTTATTTTTTTGTAAAGATATAATATAATGACATTTTTAATAAATGAAGTAAAAACATATAATTTTAATACAATTCAAAAATGGATTCAGAATTCTAAAGTGTATTTATATTATTATTATCAGATATTAAAAACAAGCTATAAATATTTGGCAGCAATAGTAATAGATTATACAAGAAGATGGTGATTTAAGCAACATTTAATTTTAATTTTGAAGAATTTAATTAGGAAGGAAAATTGAAAGATTTAAGTAATATTATAATACCTGCATAAATTTATTGCCACTGTTAAATCATGATGTGACATTTACTCTGAATATGAAATATAATAATAAAGCAGTTCAAATTGCAGATTTTGATCTTACTGGTCCAGTAAACATAAAATACAAATTATGAAAATATAGCAATAATGAGAATTCATTTACATATGATGTTTATTGCGAACTATTAATAAATAATCATTGTATCATAACATTTATGAGTCAAATATATTTACTATGAAGATTAGAAAATCTCTCGTATAGTAAATTTTCTATTTTTATATATAAATATTATAAAGTATTTATTTCATTCCTTTATAAACTTTTTTTCTCATATATTAACATATATTTACTTATTATTAAAAGTTTATTTATTTACTTCAATCTATTAGAATATTTATTCGATTTATTAATAATGATTTTAGTTAAAAGAAAATCTTTATTATAAATTTGTTAACTTTAAAAAAATAAAAAATGATCAATACATGAAGCACTATGTATATTCTGCTAATCTAATGATAATTGTAATAATCAACAGTTTTTATTCCTTTAATGCATTTTTAATAATGATAATAACTATATTTTCCTTATCATTTGCTTGATCTATTGAAAATATTTTAGCAATAAATTTAATTAATTTGATAATAATAATAATAATAAAAAATGAGCAACATATCATTATTTAATGAAATTATAAGTAATAATGAAACTATAAGTGATAATAAAACTATAAGTGATAATGAAACTATATATTACAAAATTACAGATAACAAAACTACTGATAATGAAACCATAAATGAAACTACAAATAATAAAACTACAGATGACAAAACTATAGTAATAGATAATAATAATAATTTATCAGATATATTTTTTGCAGTAAATGAAGAAACTATAGCTTTAGCTCATGAATTAGCAGTAAAAAAATTAGCTTCAGAAAGTGAAGATAATGAATTATTAGAAACTCTAAATGATGTTGATGATATTTTATTTGAAGTTGGAACAGAATCTATTTTTTCAACAGAAAATAATGAAGAATTAGCTTTATCTTTAAATACTGATAAAAACTACTTAGAGCTAAAATCCTGTTGTATAATTGATAAATTTAATAATAAAATACGACGTTGTAATTCTACTATCAAGCTTAGAAGATTACAATAACTTGTTGGTATGTGAAAAATCAAAGCAAGTGCATTTCAAGAAATTGAAACCAAATTTCAAAATTTGGATGTATGTTAAAATCATTATACTTTTGATTAGAATTACTTACATCAACAAGATTTAAAAAAAGCATCAAATATATCTGAAAGCATTATAAAAAATTGTCAGTATATTTATTGTGGACTTAATAAGTATTTTTATAGCTGTGGAAAATTATATTTTGAACATTCATGAAATATTATTAGATGTAATATACAAATTTCATGTATTGGACAAGTCAATTATCCAGCATTAAAAGAGCAAAATTGTCATTCTGTCATCTATCTAACTACTCTAATTACAAGATTACGCTATATTTGCTGTTCTTGTTTCAAAAAGAATAGTGGATATCTGTATCATCATCCTAGAAAAGGCAAATCTATTATATCCTGTAAAGATAATAAATTACATGACAATGATACTACATTATCTCTTTGATTATTAGGAAATTGGATATTAAATATAGCTGAATCTGATAATTCAGATACAAAATTATCTCTTTTATCTCATTTAAGTCTAATTTTACAAATTTTAAATACATCTTCTTATTCAAAATCACTATCACAATCAGAAATTCAATCTATTCCATCTTGTTCAACACAATTAAAAATTCAGCCTTTTAGTTTATTTGTTATTAAAACAGCTATTAAGTTAAAACATATTACTATTTCTTTGATACCAAAAAATTTATCATTGGAATATTTTTCTGATTTGGGCAATACAATGGCAAATATAATTTGGACATCAAAAACAGAACTTCAAAAAAATATTAAGTTATTAGAAAGTCCAGAAATATTAAATCAATATTTTTTAGCAATTCCAAAATCACTCATATCTTTCTTTGATGCACTTATAATAAATTTAGAAGATAAACAAAATCTTTCAGCTACTCGCAAAGCAAAATAACGAAAAAAAGAATGCAAATCAATTAATTTAGCAAAGATTAAAAAAAATAACAGTCTTTATATCATCAATTATTTTAAATACTACATTTAAGGGGATAAATATTTGGATTCCTCATATGATAGCCAGTTTATGTTGAAAGCCTAATCTTCTTTCTTCAGTTTACAATTTTTTAAAAGAAGTTAATGTAATATCTCATACTGATCAATGGGAATGTTATTTGGAAAATTTATGAAAAAAAGCAACAAATCCTTCTAATCAAGTACAAGTTGGATCTAATATTTGGAATTTTGCTGTGATCAATAATATTGATATTAGAGCAAAATCATTTACATTTGGAAATATTTATGATGTTATCTGTCAATCTTCACATACTATATTATGAATGGTTTTTCAATATAATTTACCTATGCCTATTACAATATTTACAAATCAAAAAATTCCAATTTATAATGAACAAATAATTGGACCTAATGAAGTTTCAAAAAATATCATAATATTATTTCACATGATATTTCAAAGTTTTCTTTTTAATATCAATTTCAATATTTATGATATACATAAAAAAATTACAGATCAAGTTGAGAAAGGATATCAGTGTAAAGTTCCTAATGTTGTTATACTCGAGATAGGTGGATTACCAATAACAAATGAAAGTATTTTTTTATCATTGGAAATGTATAAAAATGATATTGGACTTATTACAAATGAAAAATTAGATATTTCATCAGATAAAGCTATATTTCAAAGAGCAATATGATATAAAGGAAAAGAATTTTGAAACTTACTTGGACAATGGCATACTAATAAAGATATGTGTGGTGTATTATTGACAATTTTTTTAGATTATGGTATATTTAATTTAGCTGGTGCACTTGGAGTTCAATATTTAGATAAGTTAGAAATAATTGCTGACTATTGATCAACTTGTCAAGTTTTAGAACTTTTATGGGCTGCTATAGGTTGTGCAATTCATATATATATAAAAAAATATCAAATTATACTATTAGAAATAATAAATTGTAATAATAATTTAGTCAAAGTCTAGTATCTTTATTTTGTTTGGGTGAGTTTATGGAAGGCTCACAAAATTGAAATATGAAATAGAAATTATAATTGGCAATTTAAAATATTAGAAGCTTTTTCACCACTTTTTTCTGCATCTGGAAAAAATTGATATGCAGAATCCGTTATTTATTTTCTTGCACAATTACATGATAATACAGAATTACAATCTTTACTTCAATTAGCATGTTCAGTTAATATTTCTCATGATGAACATTATTATGCATTTGATGAAGCCTTGGAAATATTAGGTGTAAAATTTGTAAAAGAAAATATGTCAAAAACTGCTAATATAGTAAATCTTGATACTTTAAAACTTGAAATCAAATTAGTACAAGCTGAACGTGAATAATTAGCAACTTTCTTATCAGAATTTATTAATGATTATTCTGAAAGTCATGAAAATCATTCAATTCAAATGAGAAATGAAAAAATATGAAAACTTTCAATGGATTTAATATCAATATTTGAAACAAGAAATCCTAAAGATCATTATTTATTTTCTACTACTCAAGAATTAACAGAAGAAGGATATCAACATCTTTTTAATCTTTATAATAATGGAATTCAAAGAACATGAGCTATTTTATGTCAAGATGTTTATGGACTTGAAGATCGAATTACTGAAGAATGACATAAATGAGAAATTATAAAATATAAATATAATAATCTTAAGAAAAAAAGAAAAAATGATAAAGATAGTGAAGATATAAAAAGGAAAAATAAATCAAAACACCAACAAATAACAGAAAATTTATTATCAAAGACATTAAATAAAACTCGATGGCAAACTACAATAAAAAAAAAAGAAATTTTGGATCAATTTTTACTATATTCTCAATTAAATGATCAAATTATTAATGAAATTCAGGAAAAAATTCCTACTTGGGACAAAAAATGACTTAGAAATTATTATTATAATAATTGGAATAAGAAATAAGATGAATTACAAGATTATAAATATAGTAAGTTAAGTTTATAAATATTAAATTTCAAATTTTTTTATTCAGAAATTCTGAAAAGAACATTATTTTTACATAAATATATAACTATGAATATAACTATTTCTAAATATATATAACTATTTCTAAATAATAATATTTTTTTATTTATATATAACTATTTCTAAAGAATAATATTTTTTCATTTATGTTATTTTTTTGTAAAGATATAATATAATGATATTTTTAATAAATGAAGAAAAAATATATAATTTTAATACAATTCAAAAATGAATTCAGAATTCTAAAGTGTATTTATATTATTATTATCAGATATTAAAAACAAGCTATAAATATTTGGCAGCAATAATAATAGATTATACAAGAAGATAGTGATTTAAGCAATATTTAATTCTAATTTCGAAGAATTAAATTAGAAAGGAAAATTGAAAGATTTAAGTAATATTATAATACCTGCATAAATTTACTGTCACTGTTGAATCATGATGTGACATTTACTCTGAATATGAAACATAATAATAAAGCAGTTCAAATTATAGATTTTGATCTTACTGGACCAGTAGATATAAAATACAAATTATGAAAACGTATTAACAATAAGAATTCATTTACATATGATATTTATTGCGAACTATTAATCATTTTTGAAGAATAAAATTGGTTGAATATAGATCTTTAACTAATATAATCATTCAGATTAATGAAAAGTTGACTACTTTGTGAAAAGATTCTTTTAAAAATATTGCTATTATAACAATGTTAATTAGCCAAATGAAAAGTAAAAATCTTGAAATTCAATTTTAAGTAATACCATGTAACAGGTCAATTTATAATGTTAAGATGTTATAATAAGAGCGAAAATTTTGTTTTTTGCTATTTTACTAAGAAATACATAAGTGTAACCAAACTATATGCACTCGTCGATCCCTTAATTAATGCAGTACAAGAGACATCTTCGGTGTTTATTAGTAACTATGCGCATAATGCGCATATATGTGTGCGCATAGGCACATCTCTACTTATAATGTATCTGCAAATTTTGAATTAAATTTACATTCATGAAAGTTAAAATAGTATATTCAAACCCGTGATTTTGAATTAATTTTGAAATTACATAAAACTATATATGCGGTCAACCTTCCCTGCATCCTTGGTAACATATAGATAGGTAAATTTTCATAAGCTTGGATTGACTATGGTGCGCATTTAAAGAGGGTATATCTAGTGTATGCATTTTATGGGGGGCAGTCTGACTATAGTGAAAGTCTAAACTCCTCCTTTTGTTCTATTGCGAGTAAAACCAAATTAGCTAAAAATATTGCTCTTATTTCTAAATAGATAGATATAAGAAAATCGTTTCACCGGAAATGTTTTAACAAAGAACACAAAACGTGAAATTCGTATAAAATTTAAGTCACTTGAAATACCCGAGCATGCTGCTCGAACGAACCATTTCAGCCTATGCCTGCATACTGTATATTACGACTAATTCTCATAAAAACTCAAAAGAATGATAAAATTAAACATAAATAAGGGAATTTATCCCTTGCTCATCTGTATCAATTCATGAAATAGCCATCAAATTCGTTATTATGAAAAGTCTATTTTGAAATGACTTATTATATATAATTGGGAAGTCATTGACAATAATTATGTTGATATTGTCACGCCAAAGTTAGGTTGACTAAAGAATTGTAGTTGTAACAAAGGTCGAGGCTAGGCCAATTTTTCATGGAGATGATGCAATCAAGAGCAAAGGTAAAGTACAAAATAACTTTCAAAATAATAAAAGGTTTACTAATGAAATATAAATTGAATTCGAATCATTAATTCAAACCAAAAAAAAAGGTTTGTTCCAAAATAATATAATAAAACATAAAAATCATAATTTAATAATCAAAGTCAAATAATCAAATGAAACGCATCAATGTTTTATTCAAAAGTACATGTA